CCCATCGCACAACCTACTCTATTATCTTGTTTAGCACTACTCTAGCTTTTTACTCTATAGTGCTTATTCTCTCTTTCTCTTTACTCTTAGAGTAGCTTAAACTCAAAAATCTCTACTCTTTCTCTACTCTCTTTTCTAGTGCATAATTATGCATAGTTAATGCACATAAATGACTTATGCTCATTAATGCATTTATGAGATGCAATTATGCCATGTACCAAAAATTAAGGCTTTCTACTCTTACTTATGCTTCTCTTGAGCATTTCATCATACAACTCATGTGCATATAAAACTCTACTCTAACTCTAACTTTTCTCTTTTCTTTAATCATCCAAATGGGAGGAAACTCCCTCATAAACTCTAAATTTCCTGTCAAAAGAAAAGCACTTCAATAAGCTTGCTCAAAACTTTCTCCAACTTCAATCAAACTCAACCCAACATCAAGCAAATAAAACACTTCTCATAACTCAATTTATGTGTATTACTCATTAATAACTACTAACCTCATTCATCTCATTTCAACAAACATAATGAATACATATTTATATATAACTCTCTACTCAAAAGAGTTCTTAAATCTCAACTTGGGTTGAGTTTACTTACTTTATGAGGAAATAGCTTCTTTAACATTTCTCCTTTCCTTTGGGAGCTTACCTTCTCTTTACAACTTTAACCAACAACAACAACAACATGAGACTCTAATCAAAACATAATAAAACTCTCATCTAAAGCAAGAATCCTTACCTTAGGATGCTTTAGATTAAAACCCTACTAAAAAGTTACTCAAAAAGCTCTTGGAAATCCTTGGAAGATTGAAGGAATTTGAGAGAATTTGGAGAATGGAGGAGGCGGTGGAATGGGAAATGAAAAGTTCTCAAAGACTAAACCCCCCTAAATATCTCCTAACAAACTCATTCTTCCCATTTTGCCCTTGCTTTTCCTTGAAAATTCCATCCATATCCTTTGATTCCTTACAAACACACCCCCATACCAACATATTCTCCATGAAATTTCCTTACATTTTACTCCCCACTTTTCTTGCTAATTAGGGGTAAAATGGTCAAATAGCACCTAAGGAAAAAAATATCTAAAACTCAATAAACTTTTCAACCGGCATGTCGCCGCGGCGAAGAAACTTCCTTCGCCGCGGCGAAACTGTCCAGCAGCTTCCCCGTGGCTTCAACACCTCTTCGCCACGGCGAAGATTATTCTTCACCCCGGCGAATTCTGTAACAACAAAAACCTTCTAATTTTGACTCATTTCAAGGCAATTACTTAACATATCAAAACAACCAAAGACCAACCAACCAACATTCATAAAAACCAACTCAAATAAGAGCGTAATAAGAAACATTAGCTACGTACCTTAAGTGGGGCGTTACACTTGGGGTGGGTAGGGGTGTTTTTGTTATAAATTAAAGTTTTATATATGCTGGGGTGTTTTACCAAAATTTCAAATGTAGGGGGTTGAATAAATTATCCAAAAAATAATAATAAAAATAATATTATATTAAATTTTAAAAAGAGGACAATTTAGGAATCTTTATAACATATCCACCAATTTATTCTAAGCTAAAACACATTTTTCTAAACATTCCCAATAATCTTCGAGATAATCTATCTTTCCATTAATATAACATTTCTAATAATTAAACATTCCTTGAACAAACACAACCTCAAAGTAAAACCAAATAAATTATATGGAAAATTCAAGATGTTGTGCAGCAAATCCGGAGAGGATAATTCACTATTAGTAGAGAAGATATTTAGTTTGGCTCAATTTGGAAGGAAGATATTCAGATTGACTTAGATTCCAACTAAGGTAGCCGAAGATCATGCAACTTCCTAATCCTACGTATTTGAATCTTACCTCAACTCTAGCATGTAAATGGGTGCTATATAAACCCATCACAACTTGTTTTTAGGGGGGCTGGGAAATTGTTCTGGGAAAAGATTCATCATTTGTAAATCTCATTTGATAAGAGAAACGATGGATGTAGGCTCAAGATTCAAACTTGCCGAACCACTTAAAAAATGGCATGTTTCATTACTTGTATTTTCTCTTTAATTATTCAATTGTTTGTTTTCATTAAATCACGCACACATTAGTTCCAGTTCCACCAAGGTCAATCGGATCTCTCGGTTGGTGCGAATTTTTGTATCAACATTTTGGCATTAGAAGGAGGGGCTTGAACACTCCAAGCTCTCTCTATTTGTCAACAGTTTCTTTTCCATCTTCCAACAGGAAAAACAAGCCATGGCTACAACCCATGTCACCAAATCCAACTCTAGAATCAAAGTCACTGCTAGATGGGGAGTATTGAAATTGATAAAGTATGATTCTAGCAAAGTGTTAAACATAAGAGTTGTAGCCCTTTGAGTAAGATTTCCAATGGTCCAAGAATTGTCCAAATCCAATGTCTACAGATCAAGTTATCATTAAAATACAATGGTATGTTCTAAACTCGTTACAAAAGTGCGAAGCTCGTCGTTTCAAACTTGTCATTTTAGAGCTCGTCATTTTAGATCTCGTTTTGAGAGCTCATCATTTGAGAGCTCGTCATTTTAGAGCTCATTCTTTTAGAGCTCGTCATTTTAGAGCTTATCATTTTAGCGCTTGTTTTGAGAACTCATCGTTTTAGAGCTTGTCATTTTAGAGCTCGTCATTTTAGAGCTCGTTTGAAGAGCTCGTCATTTTAAAGCTCGTTTTGAAAGCTTGTCATTTTAGAACTCATTTTTAGAACTCATTATTTTGGAGCTCGTCATTTTGGAGCCCGTTTTAAGGGCATGTCATTTTAGAGCTCGTTTTAAGGGCTGATTTTGAGGGCTCGTCGTTTTAGAGCTCGTTTTGAGGGCTAGTTGTTTTAGAGCTCGTTTTGAGGGCTCGTCGTTTTAGAGCTCGTCTTGAGAGCTCATCATTTTAAAGCTTGTTTTGAGAGCTCGTCATTTTATAGCTCGTCATTCTAGAGCTCATCATTTTATAGCTCATCATTTCAGATCTTGCCATTTTATAGTTCGTAATTTTGTAGCTCGTCATTTCAGAGCTCGCCATTTTATAGCTCGTCATTTCAACTTTTCTTTATGTTATGTTTGATTAAAAATAAGAGAAACGTGTTTGGGAGATAAGGGTGGAGAAAAAGAAATTATTTTAGGTTTAAAAAAAAAAAAAAAATTTAGGCTTGAAATTATCTAAATACCCTCCAGTTTTTCTTTATTTTATGTTTTATTTTTGAAAGAACAATGATACAGTTACCGAAAAAAATACACTGAATTCATGCACCGACAGACGTGGCACCATTTTGATCGTCCATTAATTATGAAATTTTTTTTAAAAAAAAGAAGATGGTGCCACGTATGTCGGTACGTGAATTCTATCAGTGTATTTTTTTTGGTAACTGTAGCATTGCTCTTTTTTAAAACCATATAAATAGCCTTTCCATATGAGATTACTAACTGCCCTCACGTGAGTCAACTCAAACTCAACTTGACAAGACGTTGGTACAACAATAAGGGGTTGTGCAAGACTTTTCAAAAATCGTGGGGCAGTTGAGATTGGACTATCTCTGGAAAGGGCATATAAATAACCCATTGTACTAACTTAGTTTAACACCTAGAGGTCTAGGGTTCGAACCTTTTATGTATCAATTTATTCAAAGGAAATTTTAATTTGAAATGTCAATTCTGCCCTTGAGCCCATCCATTTTAATGGAAAAAACAAATGGTAGGGGGTGTCTTTGGTAGTTTCTATAGTTATGAGAGGCAAAGTGTCAATTTTTTTAGTTTCAGAGGGTGTAATTGTCATTCCCCTTATTAAAGTAATCTCCATACCAGTCTTCAAAAACAATTCTTCTTAACATACAAGTCTTCTATACTTATTATGCTTATCAAACTAGTTAAAGTATTACAACAATCCTCTCAACATAAGTCTTCCTTGACTTACCCTTCTCATAACAGTCTCATGCATATTAGTCATTCTATCATGCATTATGCTCTAACACATAGTACATGTAATCTCCATGTACTAACCACATGGTGTCTCTATCGAGCACAAAGAACTCCAATACATATAAACATTGTCATCATCTTTTTCCTTACCAAAATTCGTTGATATGAACTTCCTTCTCCAACTGAAAACTTAATAGACTTCTTTCCTTTGAAGTAATTGTCCCTATGTTTATGTTTCAGGCCATCGCATACTTTTGAGACATCTTCGAATCATAACCCATTATTAAGGCCAAATTCGAACATCGATAATCTTATACGCTTCCCTACTACCTTGAACCACATCTAATTAATACATTAAAGTAGGATTTATATGAAATCAAATGAAGAAATTTAACAAAATATATTCAAATTCGTAAATTTTTAAACCAACCGATTATTTTTTATGTTCTACACCATATGAACGTCAAACCACGACTAAAAACAGCAAAAACCTTGAATCAAACTAAATGATTGGTAATAGTATGATGAGTTTCAGTTGTGGAGAGAGTTATAGTTTGAGATGTTTTAATGTTAAGAGAACATAGAGTAAGGGTTATTGAGAGTTTAAGTTGCTTATAAATTAAGGGGTATTCTGGTCATGAAAAATATGAAGGGGCTATTTGTGAGAGACTTTCTAATTATGGCTAGTTTAAATTTTGTCCCTAAAATTGGGGATAATAATTAATTTCCCCTAATTTTTTAACCCTATCAATTTTTTTGTTAAATTATAATATCCCTTAAATAATTTGCTGCCAAAAAGTTGTTCAGCTAAGAGGATCATTTTCATCATATGTTAAGTACAATTTAATAATAATGTTAATTGAAGGGTACAATAAATTTTTCAGAAATTCTAATCACCCTTTCTTGTTAGGGAGGGAGGTAGTTGATAAGTTTTAAAAGCTATGGGAACATGCGGGGTGGTGATTTTATCTTGAAAGCTGAGGGGTGCTAGGGGAGAATTACCCTTCATTTTGATTGAATTCAATTTAATATCTGGGTTTTGATTGGTTTTGAAGGATGCCATATTATCCCTTTACGCTAAGGAAGAAACGGGAATGACAGTGGTTAGTGTGCACACACTTCCATATCTTTCTCCACTTATAACATCAGATGCTATTACTAAAAATGAAAGCCTTGTTCTTACAAGAAGAGCTCTAGTCTTTGCTACCGGTTTTTTGGCGGCTTCTTTCTCATCTTCACATTCATTTTTTTCTGCTGTTGCCCTGCAACCACAGCTTCAAGATGAACTTGGGCAGCAAGAAAATAGAATTGTTGATCTCTTCCAGGTCCCTTTTTTTTTCAAGCATTTAATTCACCCACATACATTCATGCTTTATTTACTCTCTGTTTGCTTGTAGGGAACTTCTCCATCGGTGGTTTTCATTCAAGACTTTGAATTATCTAAAACGCCAAAGCGTTCTTCTATTCAAGTCATGCCTGCAGATGAAAATGTTAAGGTTGAAGGCACGGGATCGGGTTTCATCTGGGATAAATTTGGTCACATTGTACGCAATATTCTTTCATCACTTGTTTTTCTTTAGTAATCAGAAATGCTATTCAACATTTATGTTTTGTATTTATTCAAGTTTTGATTATCGTGTATGACAGGTTACTAATTACCATGTTGTAGCTAAGTTGGCCACTGATAACACTGGATTACAGCGTTGTAAGGTTTTGTCCTTTTTCTTTCTTCTTATTATTTTTTTCCCTTTTGCTGAATAGTGATAATTTATTGGTTCTATTGTTTACAGGTTCTACTTGTTGATGCCAAAGGCAATAGATTTAACAGGGAAGGCAAAATTATTGGTTCTGATCCAGCTTATGATTTGGCTGTTCTCAAGGTATCTTGACGACCCTTAATCTTTCCCATTAATTTAGATCTAACGTGTGGAACAATTTGCACTGTCACTTCTCTTCTCTTATGGCATTGTTTGTGTCTCAACTAAAATAAAAAACTTGATTGAAGCTATTGGAAACATCCTTATGTAATTGACAAATAATTGGTAAACATGCAGACTTTGTTTTAAAAAGAGCTTGATTCTGTGTATACGATGTTTAACTAAAGTTGCTTGTGATAATGTCTTCACTTTTATATGAATTTTCGGATCAGAACTAGGAAAAATTCAATCTGCGCATAATAAATGGTACTTGAAGCAGAAGATATTAATAAATTGGTCTTGTTCACCTTATTAATATGCACTTTTACCATAGCTGCCGATGTATTCTGCATATAAAGAGATTCAGAATGTACACAAGATTCAAGGAGGCATTTTTCTGTCACTTTGTCATGGCCAACCATTTTACTAGTGGCATATTGCATTAGTTAACTTCTATGTTTATTTTTTAATGGTAAGAGTATATTTTCTTGCAAATTCATGGTCTATATTATTATGCTTTGCAGGTTGATGTTGAAGGATATGAATTAAAGCCTGTTGTTCTTGGTACATCGCATGATTTACGTGTAGGTCAGAGCTGCTTTGCCATTGGGAACCCTTACGGATTTGAGGACACACTCACAACAGGGGTAGCCTTCAATAACACAATGTTTTGCAATTTATTATGAAATGTCTTTATTAAGTAAATTGCAATCTTATGAATAACATGTTATACACTTCAATGAAGTGGGTAAATTATAATAGTAACAGATATGATGACCTTCTAAGAATTGATTTGAATAATGCAGGTGGTCAGTGGACTAGGGAGAGAGATACCCTCACCAACTGGAAGAGCCATTCGAGGAGTTATTCAAACAGATGCTTCTATTAATGCAGGTGAATTATAAATATTTCATTTCTACATGCATTAAGTTTTTCGTAGACCACTTAATTGTGTTATGTGTGTCTTTGTATTTGTTTCTTATCTTTTCTTCTTTCCCTTGCAATTGAAAATAACAAATTTGTTCAGGGAATTCAGGTGGGCCACTGATTGATTCGTATGGCCATGTTATTGGAGTTAACACAGTAACTTTTACCCGCAAAGGTAAAGATATGCTACTTGATTTCTCCATACTATGAGTTTCTACGTTATGCATTTTAGTGATGAGGGTTGAAGATGTTTAAGGTGTTTTAGGCCCTGAAAACTTCGATCTAAAATATGTGCTGTGTGCATTTGATTTTACAGGAACAGGAGTATCCTCTGGTGTAAACTTTGCAATACCAATAGACACTGTCGTTCGAACGGTACCTTACCTTATTGTGTATGGAACACCCTACAGTGACAGGTTTTAATCATGCTTTCTTTTATAGGTAACAATTAACAAATGTCTTTTGGCCTCGTATTATTTGATTGAATTCATCTGGCCTTGTGTTGATTTTGAGCAATTGATCACACTACCATTTCAATGCATGAAGCAAACAAAGCCCTACAACTTTTATTATTATTATTTTTCTCTCTCCCCGTCACTTTCTTCTTTCTTCTTTTTTCTCTCTCTCCTCGTCAGTTTTTTCTATCGAGGAATAGTTAACCCTGTTTTGCCTCAAAACCGGTTGGACTGGCGGATTGTTACAGTGACACTTGTCCAACCATGGGTCATACCGGGTGAATTCATATCCCTGGTTTTTCACCCTGACCGGCCTGGTTTAGTGGCCAATTCCTGGTCGAACCGGTTAAATTAACCAGCCGGGCCGGGTTTTAAAACACTGGAAAATATATTAAAGTTTTGTCACACTTTTTGTAAGAACATAGCATTCTGATTCACAAGTCTTGTCAAATCTCACAAAACATTTAAAGGCGTCTGGAATGATACGCTCCCTTTGACACCTGCTGATCCTTACAAGACGGCTAAAGCCAAGTTAAACATTGAGGCATATTAAATACAGTGAGAGGTCTTTAAAATTCATTTATTATCATGATCCACTTTCAAACACCTAAATCAAAAAGGAAACTATCGAAATCAGTGAAGAAATTCACTTGGCAGGATCGAAACCAAGCGAGAAATGAGGCCACATATACATTTCTGATGCATTAAGTAATACTAAATGATATGTTTTTGAGCGAATACAAACAAGCAAAAAACAAGAAAAAGAACATCTAAGGATGTGCCATAAGAATATTAATACTTGTAGCAGAATATCTATAATGCAGTTGCTTGAAAAAGAGACTCATCCCTCTTCATGAAATGAATGATATTGTAATAGACAGCATGTTCGTTCAGTCACACTCTATATCTCTCTTTTCTTTCAGTTATTGTTGGACCAAAGACATGAGAATCATGTAACATGCATTTCATTCTAAACTACTTCATTCTACTTCTTCAAAAACCAATAACCAAAAAACAATGGCAAGTTTTGGAACAAACAAAAACCAAAGCTATCAAAAATTTTTAAGTTCATTCCAACTAAACTTAATGTAGGCCAAAAAAAATTTGAAATATCAATTAACGGTTCAAGTTTAGAACACGTACATGATAGAACCAAAAATACTTAAATAACTAGCAAATGATAATAAACCAAGAATCTTGATTCTCTTCGCCAACAAAGCAAAAGTTTCTATTATAAATAACATTTCTTCATTCCTTGCATCTAAACAGATTTTGTTTAAAGCATAATTTTTTTCGAAAGACTATTATTAGTTAACTTTTAGCAGAGACAATTTCTCATCAATGGAGCAATCTATATGACAAGAGGTTCTAGATGAAGAAGGAATGAGAATGAGACCAAGGCATCGTTGTTCCATTGGAGAAGGAGAGGAGCATCTGGTGCTACGATACTCCACTGTATCTTGGAGAATAATGTTTCCTTGCTTGTCAATGCAGTGGAAAGTGCCCAAGAAAAAGCGTCCATCTTTAATCCCTACCAACATTCGCCTAAAAAGCAGCTTCCTCACCCAATTTACAGTATCTGAACAACCCATCTCAGCCACACCACACCTCTCCATTTCAATTAACGGTTTCTCTCCTCCTTGTTCCATTTAGAAGTTGTTCAATCAAATAACTGTTACAAACAGATTAATACCATTCATCAACATATTGTATCAAAATTTTGTAACTCTAGCAAAGACACCCAAATTATTGATAGCCTTTGTCAAATATTTTAATCTTTTGTTAAAAAAGACTAATTACCCTTAGTATTCTATCCTTTCACATGATATCTCAACTTTATAAACTATTTTTTTCTAAAAAAAAAAAAAAAAAAAAAAAAAAAAAAAAAAAAAAAACACATGAGCATCGCTTTATTTATATTCACTCAAACAAAATATAAATAACTACATTAATAATAAAAAATATATAAACACAAAATCAACTCGTAACCACTGGCACCTCTTTATTCTACCACTTCCCACCAAAAACTAAAGCCAACTGACAGTTACAAGAAAAAAAGACATAAGCACATAACAGAGAATGGTAGATGAAAGCTCATATGCAGTTACACAGGAAATTCTACACAAGAATTACCCATGCCCAATCGAAATCCAAATTCATCACTATAAAATACATAAAACCAAAATCATCTTTCCTCTTCACCGAACATCAATCAATATCATAGCTACAATACTAAAACTTGACATGTCTCCTGTCACAGAAGCATTAGCACAAACAGTTAGCGCGTAATCAAAATCCATTACTAAAATACACAAAACCTTTCACATCATCTACCCTTCATCCAAACACTGACTCAAACATTTAAAATGCAGTCTCTTCAATTAACATCTTTATATGGAATAAACCCGTTTTGCAAACGAACAGAAATTCCAATAATGCAAACATCATTGCCGAGAAAGTCTCGTTCATGATAGCTTCTACAACCAAAGCCGCGGCCGCGGCCGCGGCCATTGAAACCAACAAGAAGAAAGAAAAGAACAAGAGAACAGAAATGAGTGAAAATAAATAGGCCACTCACCTAACCGTTGCTTGTCTTCACCACAGTCGTTCATCGTCGCCTAATCTGAATGGTTCAAAATATTTCGATGAACAATACCATAGCGGGGTAGCGGAATTTGGGTTTGATTTTCGTTCTAAAACCAAGCGCCTTTGATTTGGTTATGATTTTTTGCTTCCGTGAATAATTCTTGATTTGGGTTTTCGTTATTTTCTAACGGGTTTTATTATCATCATGAAGACGAGGAAACGAAAAGCCCTACGCCTTCCTTTGTAAATAGTAAAGGGTTAATCACACACGGGTCCCCGAAACTCACATATTTAAATTGTATATTCTTTCATAGCAATCGACACGTTCCCACCCGAGGTGTAGCGAAATGGTAAGTTGGTATTATAGTTTCATTTATTTCAGATTTTTAATCTTAAAGTGACACCGTTAAGACGGTCGGATTCTAACAAGATGCTATTACCAAACTGTCCTCTTCCCCATCCCAAAACAACCACCATAGCCAGTCAAACCACCCTATCCCACACCACCACCACAACCGACCAAACCACTCCATTCCAAATTGCACAACAACCACAAAATCAAAACTTTTTACAAAAAATTCAGGCTAAAATTGTACCATTTCAAAAAAAAAAAAAAATACAGAGGGAAAAATGGTGGGCTTTAGCTACATCTGGTTGTAGCTTTTTGACAAACGGATGGTGGGCGCCAGTGGGTGAGTGGAAAATGGCCGGTTTTTCAATAATTTGATCTCCCAAAAGTCAACAAATAAACTCCAATCACACACACAACAACAGAACTACAACAAAAATTCTAATTTCAATCTCCAGTCTAGCCCAAAATAATTCACAAATGAAACTCATTTTTCATTAAAAAGCCGAAACCCTAGGCAGAGGTGGACGGCAACCGACGGGCTAATGGGGACAAGTTGGTGATGGGTTATGGAGAGCAGATGCCGAAGAAGCTGTGGGTGGTGTCGAACATAATTTCCGATGACAGGTATGGCCGAAAAAAGCTTGAGAAGTCACGCACAAAATGGTGGTGGTGGCCGACGATTGGTGACGAACGGCGAGCGAGCTTAGTTTAAATTGTTAGGGTTTTGGAAGTAGAGAGTCTGGTAAGTCTTTTGGTGGTTGTAGGTCAGGTTTTGGAGGTTGGGGGTGGCCGAAATTTAGCTTGGAGGTGGCAGTTGTGTGAAGAACAGAAAGGTGTGGTCAAGGGTTCAACGACGATCGAATGGTGTTGTGGGGTTTGGGGATCAGATGGTGGTGGAAAGGGGTCAAGACACCATCGGAATCAGGCGAGGGGCCTGAAACGGTAGTCCTTACTTGTTTTAATGCAACTTTACAATGCCATCTAATGGTGTTGTAAGGTTGCATTAAAACAACTATTCACATGCCAATGCCACTCTTTCAATAGTCCTTACTTGTACATCAATCCATTTGTCTTACTTGTAGCAATATGGAATGCATGATGAAATAGATTAATGGTTATTGGTTAACTGAATACTTTACGTTTGAAATGCTATATTGATTTTAACCAGGTGGTCCATGAAAAGTGTTAAAACTAGGATTGATATTGCTGTATTTTTCAAAACGTATTTTTGACAATGTGCCATATTAAACTCATAAATACATGTACCGTATTTTTCCCATATCCAAATTTTATGGCCAAACTTTTACAAATGTATTTTTCACCATTTGTCGTATCATACCTGTAAAATTCTTGTACCCTTTTTTTGTCGTACCCGTATTACTAACTAGGCAAATCGATACTCCTCTTGATCAATGCTCACCCTCATAATGGTAGTATTAATTTAATAACTTATTGAGCCGCCGCATACCGATGTTATATACTAACCTTTCAAATGTTGATGTTGGTAAGGCCTTGGTGAATAAATCTACAAGATTATCATTGGAGCGTATTTGTTTGACATCAATCTCTCGATTTTGTTAGAGTTCGTGAGTGTATAAGAACTTCGGTGAAATATGCTTGGTTTTGTCTTCTGTGATATATCCTCCTCCAACTTGAGCAATACATGTTGCGTTGTTTTCATTTATAATTGTGGGAGCATTTGAGGTACGTGGCCATTTGCATGTACTTTCAATATGATAGATGAAAGATCTTAACCATATGCATTCTCGGCTGGCTTCATGAAGCGCAAGAATCTTGGCGTGGTTGAAGGAAGTGGCAACCAATGTTTGTTTTGTAGAGCGCCATAATACTGCATTACCATTGTAAGTGAAAACATATCCCGTCTACGAGCAGGCTTTATGAGGATTAGAAAGGTACCCAGCATCTGCATAGCCAACTAATTTAGGATCATTAACAAATTTCCTTGGATAAAATAATCTTAAGTCTATTGTTGGTACCGAAAGACATGTTTGATCCCATTCCAATGTCGGCGAGTTGAAGCAGAGCTAAATCTTGCCAACAGATTCACTGCAAATGATATGTCTGGTTTCATACATTGTGCCAAATATAATAATGCACCTATTGCATTTAGATACTGTACTTCAGGACCAAGTACCTTTTCATCGTCTTCTTTAGGACAAAATGGATCCTTTTTAGAATCGAAAGACTGAACTACCATTTGGGTACTCAAGTGGTGAGATTTATCCATATTAAATCGCGTTTTTATTAATGGAGCAAAATTCCATTTAAACAATGCTCGATCTGCAGGCCGAGACAATACTTTGTTTTCCCCTAATCCTTCATTTGAAATTCTCTTTTTAAATATTCAACAACTTTTGTGAGCTCTTCAAGAGTCCTGATTAAGTTCATGTCATTAACATATACTGCCACAATTGCAAATCCTGATTCTAACATTTTCATAAAAACACATGGGCATATGGGATTATTAATGTATCATTCCTTCATCAAATATTCACTAAGACAATTAAACCACATTCGTCCTGATTGTTTCAACCCATATAATGATCTTTGCAATTTTATTGAATACATGTTCCTTTTATTTGCTTCTGACACTTTTAATCCTTCAGGGATTTTCATATAGATATCAGTATCCAATGTACCATACAAATATGCAGTGACAACGTCCATGAGATGCATATCAAGTCCTTCTAAGACTGATAAACTAATCAAGTATCGAAATGTGATCGCATCTATCACTGGTGAATATGTCTCATCAAAATCAATTCCAGGTCTTTATAGAAAACCTTGGGCCACTAGTCTGGCCTTATACCTAACAATCTCATTTTTCTTATTCCGTTTCCTTCTGAGTACCTACTTGTATCTTATGGGTTTCATGTTTTCAGGTGTTTGGACTGCATGTCCAAATACATTACCTTTTGCTAGGGAGCTTAATTCTACTTGAATTGTCTCTTCTCATTTCGGCCAATCATGTCTCTTTCGATATTCATCAACAGAATGTGGCTCAAACTCATCATTCATAATTTCAGTAGCTACTACGTATGAGAATATGTTATCGACAATCGTTGTCTCACGATTCCACATTTTTTTTACTATGAGCATAGTTCATGTAGATTTCTTCATTATTTTCTTGTATTCCTTTAGGGATTTGTTCCTCTTCAGGGGCTTGTGTCATTTTCAGGGACTGTTAACTCTTCTAGAGTTAGTTTAGAAGATATGAAATTGTCAATTATTCCAGCATTGTCAATATTGGTAGCTATTTGATTTTGTGCCTTTCGTTTCCTATGAACAGTATCCTTGGCTCCAACAGGCCTACCATGCTTTTAGCGTGTAACAAATAAATCGATCGTTGCTCGTATGGATTGTTCATTGGTAACATCAATCCTTGCTAGTGTATTCATAGCAAGAATGTATGATCTCATCATTTTCACTGCATCTATATATGCATCAGGCATTTGGTTGGCAATGTTTTGCAAATGTGTTAGTCTTTGCACTTCAACTTCAAATTGAGATGTGCGATGATCTAAATGAGATATAGAATTTACTTTCAAAGAAATTTCAGGCCTTACTCTATGAGGCTTTACCTTTCCCCCTAAAGGAGGAAATATTGTCTCATCAAAATGGCAATTCACAAAATGTGCAGTAAACAGATCACCCGTCGGGGGCTTAAGATATCTAATGATGGATGATGAGTCATAGGCAACATATATTCCTAAACGACATTGGGGTCCCATTTTGGTGCATTGAAGGGGTGAAATTGGAACTTGCACAACACAAGCAAAAGTTCTTAAATGGGATATATTAGGCTGATGTCCAAATACAAGTTGTATTGGAGAGTATTGATGATATGTAATGGGTCTTAGGTGAATTAACGTCATAGCATGTAAACTAGCATGGGCCTAGGCAGAAGTCAGTAGTTGCATACGTAATGGCAAAGTTCTTGCAATTAATTGGATAAGCTTTATAAATGACTATGCCATACCATTCTAGGTATGTACATGTGGTACTGGGTGCTCAACATCAATTCCCATTGCTGTATAATAGCTATCAAATGTCTTTGAGGTAAACTCACTGACATTGTCTAGACGGATTGCTTTAATTGGGTAATCTGGAAAGTGTGCCCATAATCTGATAATTTGTGCTAGCAATCTAGCAAAGGCAACGTTACGGGTTGATAGTAGACAAACATATGACCATCGTGCCAATGCGTTAATCAGTACCATAAACTAGCAGAAAGGTCCACTTGGTGGATAAATAGGTCCACACATGTCCCCACGAATTCTTTGTAAAAATTATAGGGGTTCTAGACCAACTTTAGTGATGGATGGCTTAAGTGCCAATTTGCCTTGTGAGCAAGCAATACAAGCATTTTTTTTAGGTGATAGAATCTTCAGGTTCTTTAATGGGTGCCCATGTGAGTTTCTATGATCCTACGCATTATAGTAGATCCTAGATGACCAAGACAGTCATGCTAAATCTTAAAAAGTAAAGGATTAATGAACTTCTGGTTCAAAACTGCATAGACTTCAACATTCTACAAGAATGTGTAATATAACCCTGATGAGAAAGAGGGAGTTTCTCTAGTACATGCTTCTAGCATGAAATATTAGCAATGATGCATAGAAACTCTTCATTCTTTTCACTTAAAGTTTCAATGTGGTATCCATTAAGTCGTATATCTTTGAAACTAAGCAAATTTCTTCTAGATTTGCTAGAATACAAAGCATGATGGATACTTAATTTAGTTATGCTTGGTAACACTCTCTTCTAGAGCCCTTAATTATGTTTGCAGACCCTGATATGGTATTTACTTTAGCTTTAGTAAATGTCAAATCTGAAAAATATTTTCTATCTTAAAGGATGGTGTGTGTCGTTACATTGTCTACTATACA